TGGCACCGCTGAAGGGACTGTAGCACCGCCCAAATTTCGACGGAATCAAAGGCTTTCTCATAGTCCACATACGTCAGGCAAAGTGGCAGATTGTACTCTTCGGACTTCTGTACAATTTGCCGAAGGGTATGTACATAGTCTATGGTACTAAAGCCTTTTCGGAAACCGGTTCTTTGTTCGGGAGGCTGGAAGTCGTCGAGTCTACGTGCGAGACGATTCGTAATGACTCTCGAAAACAGCACGTAGACGCGGCTCAGAAGGGAAATCGGTCTGTAGTTCTTCAAGAGAGCGTTGTCGCCTTTCTTAAAGAACAAGACCACCGCACTTCTGCTCCACGCCTCCGGAGTAGTGCCACCATGGAGGACGGAATTGAAGAGCTTCTGAAGGACTTCAAGTACCGGTGTTCCACCCGCTTTCAGAGCTTCCTCAAAGAAAAAAGTACTTTGTACAAATTTATTTCTTTTTTCAACTATCAATCATATACTACGACCCAGATTGTTTATTTACCTAAGATGTTGGTTTTAAAATATTAAAGCAACTTATATACTACACAAAATAAAAAAAATAAAACAAGATGCTCAAATTACAAAAAAAATTGTACAAAGTAAATCTCATTTTTTGTCGAACCGTCGGGGCTCAACCAGGTCCACTTCCTGTGCGCCACTTCTGGAAAAAAGAGTTCATCATAAAGAGTCCCTCTTTCTCCATAAAGTCGGCCAGCTGCTGGCCCCTTCGGTTCCGTTGCCCTACTCCAAATTTCCCTAACTTCAGCTCACCGCTTTCTCTTGTACCTAGTTTTGCGTTGAAGTCTCCCATCAACACCGTGTAGTGGGTTTTGGAGGAATGCATGGCTCTGGAAATATCCTCATACATTTTTTCCACTACCTCCTCTTTTTTATGTGGTTTGATTATGAATAATTTTAGTTACAATTAAAACTAATTACCAAAAGGAAAGTGGTATAACATTCCACAAGTAAATGAATTTACAGGTAATATTAAACAAATTAAAACTATTTCATAATATAGGTGCTTAGAAATTTGTAACTAATCTTAATCGATAGCACGGTAATTTTATCTATAAATATTACCGTGTCGATAATTTTGACATTAGACAACCAAATGTAGATATCTGTTGCGATCGTTATCTATGTCGAGACTGCAGGCACTTGTTGCGTATTACGTCATTTACGACAGGGATTAAAAATAGATAATACTCGGACTTAGTACTATTATTTAATCTGTGCTATTAGCGCAAGCAAAAATCAATTCATATCAATCATCCTTATTCAATCCGTATGTCTACGTGTATAAAGGCTTTTCTCCTTTGCATCCAAACGTTTTTTTTAAAGATGGTATAACCAATTACCACAACAGGGAACAGGGAAATCCCAATAAGAAGCGGATAAAGGGATCACAAAGACGATTCAGCTTGAATATATGGATAGGCATAATATCAAACTGTTTTATTGAGCTTTACTTTCTACCTTTTATACAATTTAAATGGAGAATTAAATGGAAAATAATAGACATAGAAAGAATACAAATTAAATGGAAAACTTTTTAAGACAAGATTTATCCACCTTACTGAACACTCAATCAGATTGGAGACATGTGACTTCCGCATGACGGTTGCCCTGCACATTTCAGGATAAGCGTTATACAATGGGTAGAGCCAAGTGATAAATTTGACGCATGAACATTGTTATTTTTTAAAACTACCTGTGAGCGTCCCATCTAAGTTTTTTCTAGGAATTTCTGTAATACCCTATATTGTTATACCTGCCATAGATTTTTTTAAATATTCCTCAAAGAAAAAAGTACTTTGTACAAATTTATTTCTTTTTTCAACTATCAATCATATACTACGACCCAGATTGTTTATTTACCTAAGATGTTGGTGTTTAAAATATTAAAGCAACTTATCTACTACACAAAATAAGAAAAATAAAACATGATGCACAAATTACAAAAAAAAAAATGTACAACAGACAAAAACTATACGCGTGTGTGTGTTTGTGTGTATATAAAATACTTTTAATATCGCTCATTTTAATATCAAAAATTTAGGTTATCTTTATAGCAGTATTATATTTTCAATTCAAAATTAGTACTGCATTTGTGATAATAATAAAATGTAGGTATGTATATAGAGTACTCACTCATTTTCTTTCACTATTTTTTCGTGACTTTCTTCATTAATAATAAATGCACTTTGTTCATTCATATTCAAAATTTCAAAACACTTTATACACAAACACCGTGTCGAAGACTGAGGAAAAGAAACGACGTTAGACCATCGTTAGACAATGCACGGCCTTCAAGCCACACCTCCGTACCCGTCGGAGAGCGTGAGGTTTTTTTCGTTACGAAATTTCTGGATTTTCCCGCACTCAAGGCCCGCGATAGAAGCTATGCAACAGCTTAAAAGTTGGCAATTTTTATAAAAATCTTAAATATCCAATATCTTGAAAACGGTTAAGTTTGGGGTATCTTGTTTCATAGTCGAAACAGTCGGTAATGATGCAAACTACAACCCCCTAGGATAGAAAGGATCTACTTACGATCGGATCGACTTAACCTCTAACCCTGTGTATCTGAGCTTACAGTCGTGAATACGGTGGGTATTTATGCCAATAGCCAATGCTACTCAGACAAGATTCGAAAACCGAACGTGGAAGCCTTGATCTTACTAAGTCGATTGTTTTACATTTGCGCATAACAAGCAGTTTAAAGATAAATAATAATACAAATATAAGCCGGACATCATATTAGAAAACTATAATCGTAGAATCTACTGGGACAGGACCATTATCACGGATAAAACTATTCACTTCAGTAGGCCCGATATCACAGTGTATGACAAAAATAACAAAACGACTTACCTTATTGACATTGCCATACCAAACATTCAATCCACCATAGCTGAAAAACTTAAAAAATCAAAAACATCTCAGTCCCCCCCGTGACCATGGGCGCTGTAAAGCACCCGAAACGTCGGGATAATAATAAAAATAAATTAAAGTAATTAAACGCGAAAAAAATCCGTAAATAATAGTTTTATTCAACTTAAAAATATCAAGATTTAGCTATAGAACTCAAGCGTCAATGGAGAGCAGAAACCATCCATATAGTTATCTCATCTGTTGTCCCAATAGTTATCTCATCTGCCGGAGTCATACCTAAAAGCCTACAACGCAGTTTAGATATTTTGCAAATACACACTACACACGCTTCACACCCTGCAGAAAGCTGTCATTCTCAACACCTGCCGACTCACACGCAAATTCCTCACCACGTCATCCGTCACCTCTGCTTATACCATCACCTAGCACCTGCTCACGCTTGGCTTCGGCCCGTGTGATTAGGTTACCTCTTTAATAGGGAGAATGTAGATATATACAAAATAATAATAATAATAATAAACGTTTATTTCGGACATCATGATCCATATAAGTTAGTAACAATTTTTAGAGCTTATAACTAATGTTAGTAATTGACTATTGAAACATAACACATAATCTATCATAAAACAAAGACAAACAGAAAAACCACACAAACAAATATGGCACCCGGCCCTGCCCGCAAGATTACTTGACTGCGTGCAGCCGTATCCATCGAGCAAGCATCGGCGAGTCCCAACGGTCTGCCAAAGCAATAAAATATTTAAAAATGTAGCTACCTATTTTCACTACGTTATAATATTATCCATATACTAATATATTAGCATAATACTTTAAGCGAGCATTTCTTATAAAATGTATGTATATTCATAAATATAATAGATTTGTTGAGAGCGGCCATAATTATTTGGATGAAATTTTGTATTTAAATTTAAGTAGTGCCCAATATCACAGATAGGGGTCTTCACGGCGAATGTCTCAACAATCTCATGACCTCATAAATACTACCACTGCAGTATTAGTATTACCTGCGCCATTAGCTTTCTGCAAAGCGCTATGGAAAATTCTCCATGTAACACGTTACTTGTTTGTTCAAGCTCCATGAAGCACAATCAATAAAACTAATTTTGCGTATATTATTGCTTTTAGTTTAAACTTATAATACAAATTTAAGCCTTTCATATAAATATAAATATAAGCCTGGGCCGTGGAAGCTCAGAGTTAAGCGCTCGCTGTAAATGTCACAGTACGCGAGCAGCCCGGGTTCGATCCCCGCCGGCACCAATGAAATTGTTAATTGCAATTTTAAGTGCTCATTTACCATATGCTTGACGAGAAAGGAAAACGTCATAAGGAAACCTGCATTGTCTGAGAAATAAAAAAAAATTTGAAGACGTGAAGTTCGCCAACATGCATTGGGGCAGCGCATCATTTCTTTGTACTAAAATCCTCTCAGAAATGAGAGGAGGCCTGTGCCCAGCACTGGGATGTATATAGGCTGTAACTTTAACTTTTAACTTATTATAAAAATAAAGGTAAACGGCTATGTACGTCTTATTGCTTGGCACAGAAAATCTCTCGTTACAACGTGGACGTACTACTCCGACGCGTGTTTACGGATTTTACGCGTTTTTAAAATTTTAAAATATTGCTGCTTTTATACATTATGAAGCTTTCCCGACTGCTGAGAAAGTGGTAGAGGAGCTCATGGCAATTATCAATTTCTATTGGTGCCCGCGGGAACCGCGGAGATCAAACCCGACTTGCTCGTACACTCACTTATCACGGTTAGACACGTCACGGCAATTTTAAAAATATTAATTTAATTATTTCTGGCTTGATGTTTATTTACGTTCTCATGATATTATCTGGTAGTGGACTCTCTTAATCTGCCATTACACTAAGATGCAAAAGAAGGAAACTAAATCAAACGGGCAACGCAGCATCTTTCTCATCACAACTAATGGTAACACAATTGCGGTCGCTAACTCGCTTACCCCATGAGGTTATCATGATGATGATAGGCTATGATGACATTGATGCTGAATCATATAACTACTTGTTTATAATAAATATTTAATACGCCTTCTTTCTTTTCAGATAAGCGGGAAATTAACTCCGGTGGCAGATAACAAGTGCATTTCCGACCGACACAATGGTTAATGTAAGTATACGAAAAATTTGTCTTAAATTACGTATTTTTGCTGTTTGCAACCTGGTAAAAGAACACTCTTTAATTATGGGTTCTCTTCAGAGTAAAATTTGATCTCTATTAATATGAGCGCTTACTTATAAATTAATGTAAAAATTATAATGAACTGTCAGAGGCAAGTGATGACCAACCATAGAATACTATAATATATAATACATACATAATAGAACGGTGGAGTGGGCGGAGCCATGTAGCCACTAAAATGCCACTAACACGTCAATTCACACGTATAAATGTCAACACAGGACGTGTTTTGACGTTACAATCGTTTCCAAATTATTATTATATATTTAGAAAACGCCAAATTGCACGCTATTTACAAATAAATATGTATTAAAATCCGTCTGTTAACACAGCGAATCGGGTTTGTAATAGTGATTAACTGATCATACGACGTAATTGCTTGTATGTGTGCTCCCGGCGACGCCTATCGTCGTACAAAATAACGTTGACAGCCATTCTATTATATATTATAGTATTCTATGTGACCAACTACCTCATCGTCAACCTACGTCCAATGCACCTTGTTGGATTAATCCTTAGTAGCCCGATTGCCCATTTTGATTACCGGTTGATTCATTTATCACAAAGATGGGGCCTGTTGATAGTAATAGTAATCTTTACTTTAGGTCGCACATGGGGTTGCCAGTCGGGATTTGGCTGTATACTCCCGACATTTTAAATGATTCCCTGAATCCCGACAAAAACCTCCTCGAAAAGATAACGTACGGCCTTAGATTTAATAAAATCTGAATCAGTAATTAGCCTCAACTTCATAGTAAATTGCTTGAATTTTAAATATTTTATGAATACAACTAAAGGATCCAATTTGGTGGACTCTGGTGAAGTCCAATGCCAAATACACGTGGCCAACCTAAAAATTAATTGTATTTAAATTAAAATTACTTATATGTGGTAGAGCCATGCTGCAGTTATATTAGTAGTATAGTTGTAGCACGAATGGGTCGGCTCGACCGGGGAGGGACCACGCTCTCACAGAATACCAGCGTGAAATAGTAGCTTAATGCTGCTGTATTTCGTATGGTGAGTGTAGAGAACCGGAGACCCTTTTTACTGGAAAAGAGGCATTCCATCTTAGTCCTCACGGGTGACAACGCATCTGCATTTTGATTTGTAATCGAGGATAGATGTAGATGTCTATGGGCCGCAGCAACCACTTACCATCAGGTGGACTGTGTGCTCGTTTGTCAACTTGAACAAAAAAAATTGTTTTATTTAAAGTACTTTTTATAACCACCTCTCAAAAAGATAAACTTTATATTTTTAATATTTATTTCTCCCGACAAAACCCAAAAATCCCGACATTTTCAAAATTTGTTCAGATATTTTGGTCTCCCGATCTGGCAAACCTAGTCGCACATATGCGGACAGTATCATGTAGACCGGAAACCAAATATACGAGTATTTTGTACTACTGCATAAGTTGACTGTAGCTAGATTCGAATCTATGGGACTTACGACTTACGAGCGTACATTTACTGTATGCTGTAATTAATGAATAGAAAATGCCTACATTTGCTGTTTGCTTTTTATTTATGAATGCAACACATAATATTATTAATATTATAATATATTTACATAATATTATGTTATGTTTAAATGTTGATATATTATTAATATAATATATAAAAGACCAAGTTTGAATTAAAATCCACGTTTTCTTTTGTTTAGATAACATCTAAATATATTTGTATACCGAGAAACGATCAGCTTTCTTTTACATTCCTGCCTGCCAGTTACGTAGCTCATTCTTAGAAACATGATGTTCAAATATCATAAAATGAAATGTGTGTAGTAATTTTATATCATTGTTTAATGCAGGAATCGAATGGCGGCGTGCCTCCGCCGCAGGAGCTCGAGACATTCCTACCTCAGGATGAGAGAAACAAAGAAAAAATCGTCAGCAAGTAAGTTATTTTAGGTTACACACAAGCGTTAGAAACATCAAATAAGTATCAGGTACCTGAAACATAAATAAATGTTACTAACTTTTCACTTTAAGTACTTTTTATATTAAAGACTTAAATTTATTAAGAAAATTAATAAGTTAAAGTACAGTCATTTTCTGAATTTTATGAATATGAATACTTATATTATGAATAATGAATATAGTACTTACATACTTAATGTTAATAAAGTAGGAGTATATACGTAATTCTAGTAGGTATTTTATTAAATGGGTGAATCAACTATTTTCTGTAATTAATCAACTTTTTGTGTTAAAAAATAAACTTAGTGTTTTTAGTTATTTAACTTTAAATATAGATAACTTAACCATCTAGTTTTAATATTTTATGTAGAGCATCGAACTTTTTTAAATGCTATTAGGGTTTTTAACCAAGAATGTCAGAACTGACAACTTTGAATGTCTCTTGGGTAACGGACATATTATACAATATATCGTAAGTAAAACAAAACAGAAAAGATTAATCAGTATATTTATTTTTTATTAAAGTTTAAAGGAATTATTATAGGTCTTTGAAACTAAAAAAATCAGTCTTATTCTTAAAATAATGACGTGCCTTGTTTCTCTTGGGTCACTGGTAAAATAAATCAATACAAACTTTAACTACAACTTTTTTTTTAAATAACACATGTAAGCCAAACTAATACTATACTTACCGCCACTTAGTCATCAACCATTATCTAAAAATAAAATATACCTAAGATATTTTGTTCTATTTCAATGTCGAGAGATTCATTATAAAATTAGGGGACATTGTTGTTAGCCAGGAGACAAACTTAGTGACTCAAGAGACATAACGATATACCAACCAAAATTAAACGAAAAATAATAAATTTAAAATTGTTAATAATATAAAAATTCTGTCAAAAACTCTGTCGTGTAGTCTAAATAACAAATTATAATAAAAAGTCCAACAAAAAGCACAATCACAATAAGTAAAAATATATATAAAATATATATATAACGGAAACTTTAAAGTAGTGAAGTAAATAACTATTGCCAAATCACTTCTCTAAAACGTGTACATTATATTCAAATATGTAATACTGTTGGCCTCTTTTGGTAGTCGTTTTATACTCAGCTAGAATTTATATTATGTCAGTGTAGTCGATGTCAGCTACGTCACTTTTCGAAACGAAATGTGTTTTGTGGAATTTGAATCTTCGTGCAAATCATCGACTACACAAGCATATTTAAAAATCTTACCTTTTGTGGCATGAACGTTTACTAATAAAAAGTCCATCTGTCTCACCTCTTGGTTCTCTTTTTTGTTACAAAGTTGTGCTGTTGAACTTTTTGGTTTTAGAGACGTCATCACTGGCTCATCATCAGAAGTTTCAGGTGTTTTATAAACCAGTTGAAACCAATTCTTGTTGTGAGCTTGGCATAATTCTATCAACCCGATTTCTTTAAATAGTTAAAATAAGCATTAGCTTTGACTTTCAACTCCTTATTGGTCCGATTATTCCCAGAGATTCTTTAACTATTACTTTTTTGCACAGTCATCAACACTTTCAAATATGTCTTTCAGTATTTTCTTATCTTTGTGTTTCTTTGTTTTTTGGTACCTTTCTTTGAAAACACCGGATAGCTTTTTGTACTTTATCATTTCATCAGCATTGTCATTTGCTTTTGTTTCATGTTTTTTCTTTGACAACGTTTTTTCTTATTTTTCGTATTTTTGTTGTAGTTTTTCATTTTCTTTCCGCAACTTTAAATTTTCCCTATATAATTTTGATCGATTTCTTCTAATTTTCTGTAGTCATTTACTCTTCCTTGATACATTTTTATGTGGAAGCATATTTTGTGGACTATTAATACCAGATATATCCGTCTCGTCATTGTTTCGATGCGGTGAATTTTGAAAAGCATCATGGGCTACCATAGCATCTGCTTCAGGTATCAATATAGAAGAAGAACTTAGAGGTGTTATATCATCAAGAAGGTGATTTAAATTATTCCTGTTTTGTGTTAAGTTTTTCTTCCTAAGTCTCCAAGTTGTTCTTGCATTATATTTCTCTTGTGGTGTTAAGTCTTTGATAAGTCTCTTTTTTGTATGATAATTCACTAGGTTTTTTCTTTTATATTCTTCGTACTTTTCAGAATTCAGTTTGAGTTTTTCTTTATATCTACTCTGCCTTTCGGCGGCTGTTAAATGCGTATTTACTGAAACGATTTAACTTACACTAAACCAAAACAAACCTAATAATTGACATGAAAATACTTTACAGAGAAAACGGAATTGGTAATTGAACATTGAAATAGAATATAAATATTTATTAAGGAGACTTATACGTTATCATATGTAAAGAAAATGCAAGATGTCTCTTGGCTCACAAGAATTGTCTCTTGGGTCACTCGTTTTGTGACTCAGTGGAACTGTGACCCAGGAGAAATAATACGATTTTTTACGCTTTTTCTTAAGAAAAGTTTCGATAAATTGATAATTACATATATTAGAGGAATTACAGATTTAAAACTTAAGAAAGTATCGTATTAAAATATTATCTAAATAAATATTACGACGTCAGCCAGCGGAAGCACAATGAACACACATATGCACTTTTGTAGTCACGGACGAAATGGTCGAGCCAAATCACTGCTATAGTGTAGTTAGGTAGGATCGTCCGAAGTACAGAACTATTTCCTATTAGCCACTCACATGCTATCTCTCTCGTATTTTACAATGTTTTATGCGTGTGACCCAGGAGACGCGTGTTCTACTGCTATCGTGGGGACATAAATTATGATTTTAATTATTATACCGAAAACTAAACTTAGGGATCTATAAAAAGAGACAAAGAAAGAAAGCATGTAGTATTTAATTTTCATCGCAAAAGCTCATTGCATCCTTAGGAAAAAAATATAGTATCATTGCTAGATACCAGGCCGACACTCCGTGGGGACAGGATGAATTTGTATGGGAAGACTATTTAGTCCACTGGGTCACGAGTTTTATTTTTGGATTTTTTGAGTATAACTGCAGCTAAGTATTAATTCAAATTAACTACGAAATATCTGATTTTATAACTGTACTAAAATTAAAGCCTTAATACTCAAAATGTAACTTTTTAATAATTTATACTATTAGGGACACGTTTTGACAAAAAAAAGTTGATTCACCCAAATCACAATTTTAATTGAGTAATAAACAATCACAATTTAAAAATTTAAGAAATGTATTTTAATGTGTTATTAAAATAAAATTTCTATAGTAAATTTATGAGTTTAGTATGTATAAACTTTTGTAGTATTTTTAAATAGGTAATAAAAATACTTACAACAGAAAACCAACCGGTTTGAAAACCCGGAAAAAGCAAAATTGAATTACGTGATCTAGTAATTTATATATAAAGCTATTATAAATTTTGATTACTGACATGCTTAGGTAGTTGGTACTTCAGTACTGGCTGTATAGGAAACTCAGAAGTTCGCTTGACGAGCTATAAAGAGGGCTAAGCTCAGAGAACATGTGTTTGATAGCATTCGTAACGACGATATCCGCAGTAGAAGCAAAGTATAGGACTGCCCCTTTAGATCGGGAGACCACCTGGTAAGATTACAGGACGTCGATGGATGCAGATACCTCAGGACCGGGCTCTATGGTTTTAGATAAGGGAGGCCTATGTTCAGCTGTAAACTTGTGAAAGGCTGTAATTATTATGATTAATATGTAGTTTAAGTATTCATATTAAAAAAAAACTTATTCATGAATATAACTAGTCTAGCCATAAATACTGTTACAATTTTTTATAGGTTAAGGGTGACAAACGAGCACACAGTCCATCTCATGGCAAGTAGATGCTGTGGCCCATAGACATCTACATTTAATTTCTAAGATGCGTTGTCAGTTGTCACCCTTGAGGACTAAGATGGAATGCCTCGATTCCAGTAAAACGGGTCTCCGGTTCTCTACACTCACCATACGAAACACAGGAGCATTAAGCTGCTAAGGAATAACTCGACGTGCATTTCATTAAGAATCCTTAAAGTTTGTGGTGGGAAATAAATGGTCTCCTTTAAAATCGTGGCACTAAAGTCTGACGCTCATATTATTATTATCGTGACGCGGCCTTGAAAAGTTACCCTCATTGCGCGCAAAGAAGTTTCACTTCAAAAATAATTATACTAAAATTAAAAAGTATGCAGTATCGTAAATTGTAATATTGAACGTGTAATTATTGAACTTGTACATTTCTTAGAAATTTACTTGTGACTATTATCACTTTATAAATGTGTGCCAAGGTGAGATTGAATTTCGCTAACCTGCGCTACATCGCGTCGTTTCTGACAGCGTGGCGATCTTTGAAAGGTTTCCCTCGTATATACGGTATCATCACATTGTCCATCTCCACTGTAAACAATTGTAGCAGCTAGTTGATATACCTAATGATAATACCACTATCATGGCGACCTTTGATTATATACCTGTCAGCGACCTAGTTGTAAACATTTCATCGATTGTTCGTAAATTGCTTTAAAATATCAGCAATACTACTTCAATAATAATAAATTCAGAATACGAGAATGTATAAATAATTAATACATATTTGATTTAGATCATAAATAATACTTATTAAAAGTCACTCTTTTGCTAAATTTACCAATGGTTTGGAAAAAAAGCCCTCTATCCTGGAAGAACCAGCAAGAAAGCCAACGGGACTTTTAAAAAATACAGCTTACAATCATATATTGCACAATTAAAAACACAAAACAAATTAGAAATCTCTTAGTGGCGATCATCTCATTCCCACGGGTTATTATATCCATATTTTTTTTAATATTATATTAATTATTAACCCTTTTTAGGGTTCCGTACCCAAACGGTAACCAACGGACGACGGGGGCTTAGTAATAGGGTCCCCATTACTAAGACTCTGCTGTCAGTCCGTACGTCTGTCTGTCAGCGTGCTGTATCTCACGATCCGTTCTGTTCACTCTATAATAACAAAAGAATAAAAATAAAAATAAATAAAAATTCAAGTGCCATACTAGAAACGCGTTTTACAAAGGTACGGGAACTAGTGTGTGCGAGTTCGACTAGCGCTTGGCCGGTTATTTAACAACCTTTGTTTCATAAAGTTTTTGAACTTTGAGGAGGTCGAATTTTGTATATTTTCTGGGATTTTGTTGTAAAAGCGTTTACATCACCCCAAGAGTGAATTACTGACTCGGTGGATTCTAGTAACTGGTACTACTAGCTTGTATTTACTGAATGAATATCGCTTATTTTTTGGAGACTACTTTTATTTTTGTTTACATACATTACTTTCCATAAATGTATTGAGAGGCCAGTTAATATATTAATTTCCTTAAATTTTATCTTTAGTTTTTAGATTGCTCTTATGGCCCTCTTCTGTCAAAAATTAATTTCAATGTCGCCGCATGTCTCCATAGCAAAATACCATACGACATAATGCTATGGAAATAAAAAATGGAATAAAGTGAACTATTCTAGCTGTTTTAACACTGGTGAGATTCTAATCTTTTTTACAGCATATGCTGCAGAACTAAGTCTGCTGAACTAGTTTTGATAATTGTGGGCGCCATTGAAGCTTCGCGTCTCTTATGATTCTAAGAAAAATGGTGGTATCGACAAAACGCAGCTCCTCGCCATTTAAAAATACATTTGTATTTAGATGTTTGACATTTGAAGTTATGAATTTAAAACAATAAATTTTAGTGCCATTTAAATGCAAACTATTAACGCTAAACCAATCTAGTAATTTATACATAGCATTATTTATTTCGTCATATTTTAGAAATTGTCGTTTGTATTTGAAAACGAATGAAGTATCATCGACAAATAATAAATACTATATCATGATTATCCTCTTACCATGTAAGGTAAGTTATTAATATGTACAAGGAACAGAAAGCGATCGACAATTCAGCCCTGAGGCGCTCCCATTTATACTATCGACCCTGAAAAACTCATTACATAAATGACAACTTTTTGCGTTCTCCTCGCTAATACAATGCTGTGTAAGCTACGCTATAACGCTACAGAAGTGTACATTTTTGTCCCCATATTGCGATGGCACTATAATAGCAAATTATACAAGATTTTATACGTGGTAGAGCCATGCTGCAGTTATATTAGTAGTATAGTTGTAGCACGAATAGGTCGGCTCGACCGGGGAAGGACCACGCTTTCACAGAATACCATCGTGAAATAGTAGCTTAATGCTGCTATATTTCGTATGGTAAGTGTAGAGAACCGGAGACCCTTTTTACTGGAAACGAGGCATTCCATCTTAGTCCTCACTGGCGACAACGCATCTGCATTTTCATTTGTAATCGAGGATAGATGTAGATGTCTATGGACCGCAGCAACCACTTACCATCAGGTGGACTGTGTGCTCGTTTGTCACCCTATCATATTAAAAAAAAAACATTTTCAAAGTGTAGCCAAATTTTAAACTTAAGTTCAAAATAGATAAATAATGATATACCTTAATCGCAATTTTTGAAAACATGAGTAAATGAGGCATCTACTTATATTTGAAATTATGTATCCCAAATTGAATGTGATAGATGGGCAACTACGTTTTTGCTTACCTATCGACCCTTAAGAATGTGTGTCTACATGTACTGATCTGTTGCCCAAAGTGTGAAAATTGTTATCCGGTCTTACTCTACTGCACTGTAGTCTGTAGGTACACGTTGATCTTTCTCCTCTTTTTATTTAATTATTTTTGGATTGTCTGAAAGAAATTGCTATATAGCAATAAGACTGCATTTTATTTTCCATTAATATTTTTATATTTTGTTTTCTTGGTGTTAGTACAATAAAGAGTATTATATTGTATCAAAATATAAATTTCGGACATCCCAGAAACAATATGGATATTCGATATTTCATGAATGCATCGCGGCAAAACTCCCAATACCATCCACACCATCTGGATGCTTCGCGATCCACCACTATATGTTTCACTAGGATTCTCTGCCGCGTTGTACGCGGAAGAACATCCTCTCTGTAGAATATCTTACCACCGACGCTTTTTCAGGACCGATACGACTAAGAGACCCTAAATAAAAGAGCTTAGTCCTTTCTAAAAGGCCGGCAACGCACCTGCAATTCCCCTGGTATTGCAGGTGTTCATGGGCGGTGGTGGTCACTTACCATCAGGTGAGCCGCGTGCTCGTTTGTGTCGTCTACTATAATTTTTTTTATATAAAGAAGCCAAAAGCAGGGTGCATGAAATGGCGACAGGTCACAGCCACAACGTGCGATCCCCGAATGCAAATAAGGCTGAAGGGGAAAATGTACAAATCGACCATCCGACCTATCGTCATGTATGGAAGTGAATGCTGGGCCGTCAAGAAGAAGGATGAAAATAGATTGCATGCGAATGAAATGAGAATGTTACGATGGATGTGTGGTGTGACAAGGATGGATAAGATAAGGAATGAGTATATAAGAGGAAGCCTGAAAGTAGCGCCAGTGGTAGAAAAGGTGAGAGGAAGCAGATTGGCATGGTTTGGGCATGTGATGCGGAGGGATGAAGGTCATGTCACAAAACGAGTGTTGAATATGAATGTGGAGGGACACACGGGCAGAGGAAGGCCGAATAAAAGATGGATCGATTGTGTGAAGAGTGATATGAGAATGAAAGGAGTAAGTATGGAAATGACGGCTGATAGAGAGGAATGGAACAAGAAGATTTACTGCGCCGACCCCAGGTAATGGGAAATGGTTTAGAGAATGATGATGATAAACAAGCCAAACGATTTTATAATTCAATGTATGCTAAGGTTTTTCCGTTTGATTCCGGCCGTGAGCACGGTGGCGAAAAATGAACAACACGTATTTTACTACGAATAAGAGTGTCACAAGAATACGCTGTCCAACTCCATGGTAAATAAATGCTGTGGCCCATAGATACGTATACCCCTGTTTAAGAACCACAGTGAAGATGTTATCATTCTTGATCCAGTCAATCATCAAACAAACAGCAGTATTATGCTGCTATTTTACGCTGATACTCTGCGAGAAAGTGGTCTTTCCCCTGTACCTCGTAAAAGGACGTCATATGATGTCCGACAAACAACATTATCGAATGCATGAATCTGACATGCCTTCATATAATTCCTATAATTATATCTCTCTTTATTGTACTCTAAAGATCATCAAATAGTGCAAAGACGTTTAGGCTATATTTTTACTTACATTTTCCTTTTGCAGATACAACATGACCAAAGATGTGGAGTCAGCTGATTTCGACCCGTTTGCGGAGCGGAAGCTGGACAATCCGACTTCGTGAGTATTTTCTTGATTTACTGTACTATTTTAATAGTCTTCATATTATGTTATCTCTATTCAGGTAGTGGGCGAGTGACAACACACGATGCTTAATATTAGTTTACCGCGCTATTCTTGCGGATGCATCAATTACAGGGAAGCAGGGAACTATTAATAAAATGAATATGTTAAGTTCGCTTTACATTTTAAACACGGCTTTGCGACAAAGGCAATGGAAAATTAACTGATTGGTAAATGGAAATTGCTTTATTTCTTTAGTTAATAGCTTGCGGGAAGAGTTTTCGATAAGACTGCCAAGCGAACGATAATATTTTTTGTGTTTATTTGTTGCGAAATTTTTTGTGAGACAATTTTTGAAACAGAAAGTCGAAAAGACATAAGTTCTATTTTTAAAATCTACTTAGAATTTTTTAAATATAATTAAATAATATTTATTTTAAAAAATAACAATATGGTTTACGTAAGTAGTCGCAAAAATGGAGTGCCTGTTGGATCTATTGGAGAAGACTGTTGAAATCTGTTTCAGTTATCACCACTGAAGAACATAACATTTACACAATCCTTAGTGTATAACATTTTAATACGATACGAGGATGTCAATGGATATTCGCCATCGACTTTCAACTTTTAGGTTTTAAGGCGATTGATAAGGTTCTAATGTAGGTATTCTGGTAAACGTGATTATTAATGTAAATGACTCAAATTTTACTGCCAGTATCATGATAAAAAGTGAGAAGGTTAATTTAAAAGGCAGTTTTAGAAACTTCTAGTATTCTCGTATAAGATATACATTATATGCTTTGATTACATGTAATCAAAGGCCTCTACATCTCTCATGATGTTCATCGGAAACTTAAAAAACATATGGAAATGCGAGAGTGCGATATTTGGAGCATTGTATATTTTCGTATATTTCGTGTTTCAGAAATCACTAGCTTAAAACAAAGAGAAATATAAAGTATTTTGTTATTTTAGTCATAGTTTGAAAATGTGGTAAAGGTATGCTACAGCTATATTGATTGTATAGTTGTAACACAAATACGTCGGCTCCACCGGGGAAGGACTACCTGTTCTGTTTCGTACGGTGAGTGTAGAGAACCAGATACCCTTTTTACTGGAAAAGAGGCATTCCATTTTAGTCCTCACGGCTGACGAAGCATCAGCATTTTGATTCTCAAATGTGGATAGATGTAGATGTCTATGGGCAACAGCACCCACTTACCATCGGGTGGACTGTGTGCTCGCTTCTCATCCGTTACCTATAACAAAGATTTAAGTTTTAAGTATTGTAGTGTCCCTCTTGTTTTGGATCTAATAATATTAATTTTGTTTATATCTTAATGGTTTCTGCGAAGTGATTATTTTAATTAGGTAAATAATTATATTATAATCAACAAGCCTTCCTAGAATACAATTTCTATTTAATAACTAATATAGTGTATGGACATTCAAAGTCGTATGTAAACGACTAACTACATATTATTTACATTTACATTAAATATACTATATTTTCTTTCGCATGTTATTTATCGTAATAATTGAACTTTGAATGCGCAATCAGATTTATTACATAAGATAACCCTAAACTCGTGTATCGCTGTGCTGAGACACTTCTCAAGTCAATCGAGACGCTGTTTTATTTACTGAACTATTTTATGACTATAAGTAGTACTATTGTCTTAATATTATACCGGGAATGTTTACCAAAATATCAAGAACAAGCCACGGCTACGGTACATTATACAGTAATGTATATTTTTTCGTAAAGGCCAAAGTAATACATGAGGTATAAGTCAATTATATAACACACCTAACTGTCTTGTTGGTCTAGTTAGTGGTCTTAAGTTTTACCGCTGACCATGGTCCGGGTTCGAATCCCAAGTTCGACCCAAAAAGTATTTATTGGGTAATTTCCTAAGATGTTTTTAAACCTTTTTAATACGTCTTTGGTTATTTCTGTCAAAACTTCTTAGTAGGAATCAGTAGTCTTAAAATGGAAATGTTTCACCCTCAAGCTCAACCGTTGGTCTTGCGCCTGATCTCTCTCCGGTCGTGTCGGTTTGCCGTCCCATCGTACTATGAGAGTAAGTAAGGGCAAAGACAGTAAACTTGTGACTGTATATATATGTATAACAATATATATATATATATATATATGTATATATATGTCTATATATATATGTATATATATATATATCATCATCATCATCTTCACAAGTCCACTGCTGAACATAGGCCTCCCCCAAGTAATGCCACAAAGCACGGTCCAGAGCCACCTGCATCCATCGACTTCCTGCATGTCTTACCAGGTCGTCACTCCATCTAGTGGGGGGTCGCCCTACACTACGCCTACCGGTACGAGGCTGCCACTCGAGAACCTTTCTTCCCCATCGGTTATCGGTTTTTCGAGCTATATGGCCGGCCCATTGCCACTTCAGCTTACTAATCCGTTGGACTATGTCGGTCACTCTTAGTTTTACTGCGGATATCCTCAATTCTGAGTCTATCACGCAGTGAATCCGAGCATAGCCCTCTCCATAGCTCGCTGAGCGACCTTGAGCGTCCTCATACGGCCAGCGGTGAAGGACCACGTCTCAAATCCGTAAGTCATCACTGGCAACACGCACTGGTTATATACTTAAGTTTTCAGAGATTGAGGTATACCTGACGAGAAGATGTGTCGTAATTTCCCGAACGCTGCCCAGCCGAGTTGAATCCGTCGATTGACCTCTCGGTCGAAGTTGGACTTACCTAGTCGGACTATTTGTCCCAGGTAAACGTACTCGTCAACAACTTCGAGCATAGTGCTCCCATCAACTACCGACATAGGTGTGACATGGACATTAAACATGATCTTTGTTTTGTCCATGTTCATCTTAAGACCTATCCGTTGGGAGACACCATTGAGGTCATTGAGCATAGTGCTAAGGTCCTCCATCCCCCCATGAATAACGACGCATGTATATATATATATATATATATATATATATATATACATCTCACATATATATATATATATGTGCACTATGATTCTGACGTGCCCAGATGGTTAGTCTCCGTTGAGACTCGCCGCCATGATCGGAATTTCGTGTGGAGGAAAATATAACAAAGATAAACTTAAATTATATTTATTTTCATTATAGTTTTAAGCATTATTGTTTATTCGTCTTTGTTTACATATTACAACTATTTTTATCATCCTATGCCTTTTAGCTTTGTACGCGTTTCACAAATAAAATTATTTACAATTTTGGATAAATTTTACGTGGTAGACACACGCTGCAGCTATATTATAGTTGTAGCACGAATGGGTCAGCTTGACCAGGGAAGTACCATCTCACAGAATACCTGCGTAAAATAGTAGCGTAATGCTGCCGTGTTTCGTATGGTGAATGTAGAGAACCGGAGACCCTTATTACTGGAATCGAAGCATTCAATTCTAGCCCTCATGGGTGATAACGCATTTGCAGTTTGATTCTTAATCGAGGATAAATATGGATGACTATGGAAGACAGCATCCACTTATCATCAAGTAGACTGTGTGCTCGTTTGTCATCCAATGCTATAAAATAAATCTATATTTTTTTCTCGTAAATCTCTGTATGATGTGTGACGTGGAATCAAAAACTGTATTCCTCAAAATCTTAATAAACCATGAGTGTGCAACCAGTGCATGTTGCATGTGAAACTGAGGCGTGGTACGTTACTGCTAGCAGTACGACAGCGAGCTACAGAGAAGACTGCTCGGAGTTTCTGTGCGTAACAGACTACGTATTGGGGTTTGCTCTGTCCAGAGATGGCGAACCAATGGCACGCATGCCATCGATGGCACGCGACACAATATTTTGAGCACGCCACCAATCACAAAGTTATCTATGAAGTATTATATTATGAACGAACGCGAGTGACCCTAGTTACATCATGAACTACTGTTGCTAATGACTTATAGTTCGTTTTATCATCATCACAGGCCTTCACAAGTTCACGCCTCTCCCAAGAAATACATAGTTCATTTACGTATAGCATAATAGTCAATTTCGTTGACACAACTGTATTTAGAAGTTCATTTGTGTTGTATTTAGGATTTTACAACCTCTATATAAGTTGTTTGTCATCTAATCTACATCAACAGAAGTCACACTAAGGTTACTCTAATTTCAATTACGCGTGTATAACTGAAAAATTTATTATTATAAAATGTATTTTGTAATGTATAATAATTAATAACAAATGTCTCAACTGTAAATTCTTTATTTATTTTTTATAGTAAATAAAGAGTTTTGAATCGATAGTTATTACAAAATTATTTTACGGCACGTCTATTACCTAATCAAACATTTCTTTAGAAATATGGCACGTTGATACATAAAGGTTCGCGACCCCTGTTCTGGTCCAACGGATTAGGAAGTAGAAGTAACAAATGACAATGCGTAGCAAAAGTGGGCTGGTCATGACAACGGACGGACAAATGTACAAACATGAACAAGCGACAGGGAATAATTTTTTTCGAATGACATCCTCGTACCGATAAACGGAGTGTAGGGCGACCCCCTTTAAGAAGTGACGACCTAATAAGAGATACGGAAAGTATATTTATTACTATACTAGAATTATTTTGTCCGTGCAGTTTGGGTTATAAATCATCGGAGTATTTCGCTCCCTCTCCCACTCACGGGCTTTAGGGGCCAGCATAGTGATGCGCATATACTATATTATAGTTGCTCTGGACCGTGTTTTGTGGTATTCCCTGGTGGAAGGTACAGGTACACAGTCCTTTAATAATTACCCTATGGTAATAAAGGACTGTGAAAGGAAATTTGCTTTAATATCTCAGGTCTTGCTTTTTGTACCTAATTGTTGTTATGACTGATTGGTTGATGCTATTCTTTATTATCAAAATGTGTTTTTATAGTCTGGACTGGAGTGTTATTGCCCCAGACATATATAAAATGTACTCAGTAATTACACAAAATTCGTACGCTTAAAATTATTACTTTAGTAGCTTTTAAATACCTACTTCCGCCCATCCCAAATTAGTTTAATAATGTATCTTTTCAAAAATGCCTGCGAACATTTACGTCAATATGTAAAATATGAATACATAATGACTACTTACTTAGAAGCTGCAGGCAATTAAAGTGGGACGTTTTTCCGTATTTTGAGAGCAGCGCAGCGGCAAAATCAGCAAAATCATTTGTGAGCATTACAAATTTTTATTTCGTGCGAGTATAGAATTAGTTGGAATTCTCATAATTGTTTTCTTCGTTCTTCGGATAATATTAAGTTTCTCACGCCTTACACCGTACTTAACTCACTCTTTCGCACTCTCTTGACATTAAAAAGCACCCATCATTTTTTTTAAATCCATGAAACATTTAAATATTCGACGCAAGATCGCATATTAATCGGATTAATATCTTTTTGTCAAAAAGCATAGAAAAGTTTTGACCAAGTGTATGTTTTATTAATATTTTTATGTCCGATTTTATTAATTGATTGTACTTATTAATTGACGGAAATAACAAAACCTAAAAAATATTTGTTTAATGTCATTTTCCAGGAATACTACTTAGTGGAACTCGTTTATATATAAGGATCTTCACAAATCCACCATGTGTACGATTTTGTGCATATAAATAAACTTATAAATAAGACAGGCAGCGTCCAGCGTCGCAGCCGCGGTTTAGTAATTGCGCTGCTTAGCCGAGTCGCCGTCGTATGAATAGATAATAGCTATATATACTAAGACCTTAAAAATCTAAAACCAGCGCTAAGCGAATATGTATTAGAATTTTATTTTAAGTCTCATAAACATTTAAAAAAAGAGAAATTCGTTCACTCAAGCGATGAAATGTAAACTGAATAAAAGTCTTGAACACTTTCAGAAACATGGACACACTAACACATCTTCTGAAGGCGTCACTAGGTACCGGCATCCTGGCGATGCCCAAGGCGTTCAAAAGCGCAGGATTGATCTCCGGCATCTTCTTCACGGTTCTCGTCGCTATGATCTGCACTCACTGCGCTTACGTACTTGTAAGTCACACATTTTTGAAGACATGCTACGCAAACAAGCCGTGCTTAAGCTAACACGATTTTTATTTAATAACATTAAATAATATCAACATCATTGCGAATTTAAAATATGAATAGCTTGACTTATTCAAAACGCTTTCTGCTGCGTTTTGTGTTGTGCCTTTTTTTTTGCTATTTTTATGCAATTCATTTATGTGTTTATTTGCAATATTTAATTTATTTATGTTACCTGCAAAGCGATTTTATGAAGCGATTTTTACATTGGTTTTGAGTAATTTTAAGAAGGTTGCTAGTAATTTTATTACATGAAATATATTGATGGGAAGCATTTACGAAAGCAAAAACGTTTTGTGAAAACACGTTTTGTAAGTTATTTAAAAATAATCAACACTTGTGATACTAGTTCACTCCAGTTTGTGAGGAAATTTAAACATAAATATGTATACAGTCATCTATATTATCAATTTATTTTTATCATTTCGTGGTGCGGCATTTTCTTAACCGAAATTCTAGTTTGCACGCACACGAAGCGTAGCAAATGCTGGGAAGTTGCTAGAGGACTATGGCTTCGGACGGAAAATTTCAGGATTCAGGAAAGGTATTTTATGACTACGCGCGGTGTTAAAAATTGCGCTAAAATAAGCACTACCGTGCCGCGTTGACGACGCCTCGTCTCTCATTAAATTAGGAAATTGGTTCTTAAATGATACTATTCTTAGATTATATGGAAAGTTTTGAGAACATGTTTGTGCACTTCGGTGGAAGCTTACTAATCTGTGGTTTTAGGTATAAAATCATTTGAATGATTTTTTTTTCAGTGTTAAAAATGAGCAAAACCCTACTTTAAAGAGATTTTCTGTTGGTAAACTCTAAAAATTCAACCTGTAAAGCCTTATATAAATGTGAATTTAAGATATTCGAGGAACTTCACCAATTGTCAAATTCTTACGATTCTTGCTAAAATGAGGAGGGTTGGGGGGTGGGGGTGAAGCTGTATTTGGCTTTATCTCAAGGCGGCGAAAAGCCCACGCTACTCCGCTGCGGGTTCCTGAGTGGCCATAACCGACGAATAAATTATGCGCTTACCCCTAAATAACAAAAATATATAGGTTTAATGTAAGACAATTAAAACCCCCTGATGATTAACAATACTCCAGCCTTACTGTATTGCTATTAGATATTTATTATTACTTAATTTATAAAAACTTCATTATGAAGTAGTCCGCTTTTGTTTTGATATTGTTGCGCGAATAAGACGATGGCACTAGCGCCATCTGGTATCGGGCAACAGAGCGAGGAGAGCTTTCCAAAAATACATGACTAGTCTTTCAACCAACAGCGCCATCTAGTATCGAACAGAAGAATTAAGCTTTCTGGAAGCCGCACACTCGAACTTTCTGCGCTTGGTCGTTTGGCGCGCGTATTTACTTGTGGAATATTCTGGATGTATTCGTGGAAAGAGCCCTATATAAAGGCGCTGCAATACGCGATCGGGGAAGTATTGAATTTGGCGAGACAAGCGAAGCTTCGGAGCGGAATAAAGTGAATTAGTGTGCTTAAATATTGGTAAGTTTTAATTTGTGTAAAGAAAATTAAAGTGTTAATTTAGGTAATCCTATCGGCAATTTTTATTGTCACGAACCTCAAGCTCGTAACAATTGGTGTCAGAAGTGGGATAAAATCATGCCGATTTTACCTAAGGAGGAAACGGAGGGTGTTCGTACCCGCAGTCAACGCCAGCATGAGACGGACCAGAGAAGATTTGGTGGTGCAACGCCGCAGACGTCGGAGGGCCAGCCGCCGGCAACGGAGGCCAGTCCGTCAGTAGCTCCTGCATCTGCAGCACCTGATTTAGGCGCTCTGATGGTGATGCTGCAGGAACAGGCTCGTCGGTTCGAAGAGCAGCTGAAGCGCGGACAGGAGAAACAGGCCCGCCGACAGGAGGAACCGGCCCGTCGCTTAGAAGAGCAGCTCAAACGCGATAGGGAAGAGCAGATGCTTCTCATGAAGGACCTTCACGCTACCTTCGGGAAAGAGATAAGGAAGGTGAAGGATAAGGTTGCTCAACATGATAACCGCCTGTCGGAAGCTGAGACCCAAATTAACCAGGTTAAGAAAACGCTGGATGAACTCAAACTTGGAGATGGAATTGCAGCCCCCGCAGTAGCTACTACACCTTCGCTACGTGGGTTCAAGGTACCACCGTTCGACGGGACTTCTTCCTGGTCGGCCTACAAAATACAGTTCGAGGCCGTCATGGAGGCAAACGGCTGGAATAAAAGCCAGGCCATGACTGCACTCACCTTAGGCCTGCGCGACCAAGCCTTAACTGTGTTGGAAGCTCTCGGTAAGAAAGTGACCTACGAGCAGCTCCTTGAGGCATTGGAGGCGAGATATGGTGACGCTCACCTGGAACACGTCTTTCGTGCGCAGCTTAAAGATCGCGTGCAGCGCATCAACGAAAACCTGCAGCAGTGGGCCCTTGAGGTGGAGAAGATGGTTCGAAAAGCATACCAGTCTGTACCTGCGCTCATTGAAGGGAACCTGGTTCAGACATTCATCGACGGAATCCGCAACCTTGAAGTCAGAGCTGCTGTGAGGCTCGGGCACCACGAGACGCTTAAGGACGCCTTGGCCCATGCACTGGAGGTGGAAGCCGTGCGGCAGGATCTTCGCTCCCATCGCGTCAGGGAGGTTGCAGCAGCTACGGTTCGCGACCGCAATAAAGGATACAGCTCTAGGTGCTATGGCTGTGGGGAAAGGGGCCATCTTCGATCCAGCTGCCCTAAGCGAACCGTAGAAAGGGAAGGTGAACGATCTCAGGAGGGTAGTGCGGCCAACAGCACCCCCCAGCAGCAGCAGGGAAACGAGTAAAAGCCAGAACTGCGGGGCGGGTGGTGGCTGATGTTAAAAGAGCCCCAAGGATCTCGATCTCACAAACCCATGATGGGAACAGTCTGATCATCAAGGGCGAGGTCAACGGAATGCCGTGTAAACTGACCATAGACACTGGAGCCTCTCGTACGGTTGTTAGTTCCCAACTTATAAGTCAGTTCCTTGGGGACTCCGCATACAACCGAGAACGCATTAATTTGGTAACAGCCACCGGTCAGCGTATACCCGTCCGTGGAGAGAAGGAGATGGAGTTGAAGCAAGGCAACGTGATCTACCTGCATAATGTCATCGTGGCTGATATAATGGACGACTGCATCCTAGGCCTAGACTTTATGAGGAATAATTGTTGTGAGATCGACGTTAAGCAAGGTGTTTTGAAATGTGGACAGGAGGAACTTTTTATGGAAGGTACGTTACCAGGGAACGTGTACAGCATTAAGAAGATTGTTCTTCCGCCGAGATCGGAAACGATTGTTCCGGTTAGTCTTCCTCGAAACGCTGGGCAAGCTCACCGTTGTGTACTTGTGGAAAGGGTAAACAATGACCTTCCATGGAAAGTAGCTCGAACCTTGGTCAGGACCACTCACATCTCAGGAGTACGTGTGCTGAACCTTTGCGACCGGGAACAGATTATAGAAAAAGGCACACTGGTTGGTACTTGTGAGGAAGTGGATTGGTTACGCCGGTGCCAACATATATCGAGTTGGACCCCCAGCAAGGATTCAGAAACGAGAGTGACCACACTTTTGGAAGACTGTCGCAGTGTTCTCTCCCCGAACGAATTGGTCAAGGCGAAGAAGTTGTTACTCAAGTACGCCGATGTATTCTCATCAAACGATGCTGACATAGGAAAGACTGGCTTAGTTCAACACAAAATAAACACAGGAGAAGAATTGCCTATCCGTCAGCGGCCAAGAAGATTGCCGGTAGCACGTGAAAAGGAAGTGGAAACCATGATTGAAGGAATCTTGAAGGATGGTGTTATTGAACCTTCCTCTAGTCCATGGTGTTCACCAGTGGTGCTGGTGAAGAAGAAGGATGGCAGCATGCGGTTTTGTGTTGACTACCGCCGTCTGAACGACGTTACGAAGAAGGACAGCTATCCCTTGCCAAGAATTGATGACACGCTGGACATGCTTACAGGAGTAAAGTGGTTCAGCACGCTGGATCTAAAAAGTGGCTACTGGCAAGTTGAAATTGACCCTAAGGACAAGGAGAAAACTGCGTTCTCAACGGGAAAGGGTCTGTGGCAATTTAAAGTAATGCCGTTTGGGTTGTGCAATGCTCCAGCAACGTTTGAAAGGCTGATGGAACTTGTACTTACCGGGCTAATTGGCGATGCCTGTCTGGTCTACTTGGATGACATCATCATCGTAGGCCGGACGTTTGAGGAACACCTACAAAACCTGGAACGTGTGCTCATGAAGATTCAGAGTGCCAACCTCAAGTTGAGTCCGAAGAAATGTTCACTATTCAAACGGCAAGTTAACTTTTTGGGGTATGTAGTATCGGAAGAAGGTATCCGCACGGATCCAGAGAAAATCGCCGCTGTCAAGGATTGGCCGGTTCCAAAAGACAAGACGCAGGTTAGAGCATTTTTGGGTTTGTGCTCCTATTACCGGCGATTTGTGAAGAACTTTGCAGATATAGCCAAACCTCTGCACAAGCTAACCGAGGAGAAGCGACATTTCTGCTGGGATGAAAGTTGCAATATCGCATTCCAGGAGCTCAAGGACCATCTGTGCAAAGCACCTATTTTGGGATACCCTGATGCAAGCAAAGAATTTATAGTTGACACAGACGCAAGTGATATAGGACTTGGCGGTGTGTTGTCTCAACGGAATGGTGACCAAGATGTCGTGATAGCGTACTTCAGCAAGTCGTTGTCAAAACCGGAAAGGAACTATTGTGTCACAAGACGCGAATTGCTAGCTGTGGAAAAGTCGTTGCAGCATTTTAGCAAATATCTTCTGGGACGAAAATTTCACTTACGAACTGACCATGCTGCACTAAAATGGCTATTGCAGTTTAAAAATCCAGAAGGACAAGTTGCGAGGTGGATTGAACTACTGCAGGAATACGACTTTGAGATCGAACATCGCAGCGGAAAATCTCACGGCAACGCAGATGCATTGTCAAGAAGACCTTGTCCTGAAGATTGCAACCATTGTACTAGGCAAGAGAGTAAGGAAGAGGTATCCGTGAGGATGCTCAGGACAGATCACCTCAGCAACGAATGGAAGGACAGCTTACTACATGCACAGCAGGAAGATCCGGACATCAAGCCGATTCTGGAATGGATAAAGGCCAGTGCTCCCAAGCCCAAGTGGAGCGACGTCTCAGCGATGAGTTCGACCACTAAAAGCTATTGGGCCCAGTGGGACAGCTTGCTGCTTCAGGATGGAGTTCTGTGCAGTAAATGGGAAAATGTTCGGGGAGACAGCTGTCATTTGCAAATGGTTGTCCCTAAAGCTAAAGTACCGGATGTTCTACAGCTGTACCATAATGATTGTTCAGGAGGCCATCTGGGAGTTAAACGAACTCTACTGAAGATCCGAGAATGATTTTATGGGGTCCACTGTCGAAACGATGTCGAGGACTGGAGTCGCAAATGTACAAGTTGTGCGGCTGTAAAGGGACCTCAGACTCGTAGTAGAGGTGCATTGAAGTTGTACAATGTTGGTGCACCATGGGAGAGAATAGCCATCGACGTGGCGGGGCCGTTTCCGGAGAGTGAAAGCGGTAACAAGTATTTCATGGTTGTGATGGATTACTTCACTAAGTGGCCAGAAGTCTTCGCCATTCCAAATCAAGAAGCTTCAACAGTTGCAGATAAACTAGTTCATGAAGTCTTCTGTCGCATTGGAGTACCTTTAGAGATTCACAGCGATCAAGGAAGGAATTTTGAGTCTCAAATATTCCAGGAAACTTGCCGAGTTATGGGTACTCATAAAACAAGAACGACTTCTTATCACCCGCAATCTGATGCAATGGTAGAACGATTTAATCAGACATTGGAGAGGTACCTAGCAAAAGTTGTAGACAATCGGCAACGAGATTGGGACAAGCACATACAACCGTTTTTGTTATATCGAAGTTCTGTTCACGAAAATACAGCAGTGACACCAGCTTTCGCAAACTTTGGAAGAGAATTACGGCTGCCTGCAGACCTGATCACCGGGATACCACCTGATGCCCCACGCAGTATAACCGATTATGCAAATGACTTGCGGAACAAAATGAATGACATTTATGAGCACGTCAGACAATCGGGCCAGCAAATGTCTGAGAAAATGAAAACCCGGTACGACCGCAAAATGAACAATAAAGGGTTCGACGAACGTTCACTAGTATGGTTGCACAATCCAGTCCGCAGCAAAGGGAAATCTCCTAAGCTTCAAGCTAAATGGGACGGCCCGTACCGGATTGTAACCAGGATCAACGATGTAACCTACCGGATACAGAAAGGCGCAAGAGGGACTCCTAAGATCGTCCATGTGGATCGCTTGGCGCGTTATTATGGGGCCAATAATGCTCGGGACGAGCATGTCTTAGGAGGGGGCAGTGTTGCGCGAATAAGACGATGGCATTAGCGCCATCTGGTATCGGGCAACAGAGCGAGGAGAGCTTTCCAGAAAATACATAACTAGTCTTTCAACCAACCGCGCCATCTAGTACCGAACAGAAGAATTAAGCTTTCTGGAAGCCGCACACTCGAACTTTCTGCGCTTGGTCGGTTGGCGCGCGTATTTACTTGAATATTCTGGATGTATTCGTGGAAGAGCCCTATATAAAGGCGCTGCAATACGCGATCGGGGAAGTATTGAATTTGGCGATACAAGCGAAGCTTCGGAGCGGAATAAAGTGAATTAGTGTGCTTAATTATTGGTGTTAAGTTTTAATTTGTGTAAAAAAAATTAAAGTGTTAATTTAGGTAATCCTATCGGCAATTTTTATTGTCACGAACCTCAAGCTCGTAACAATATGCCTCTTATAGGCTAACTAACTACGGTGTGAGGTAGAGCTAATTCAGGAGTAAACCTGGATTTACTAAAATGTTACCACGTTCTACACCTTGTTAATACTATCTAGTCTCTACATACCTCTCGAATCAAGACATAATTATGTGGATGCTCAAAAGGAAAAAAAGATAAAGAAGTACTTACCCTGGGCGTGAGGAACTTCTAGGTTAAAGACAAAAGAAGGTCTGCAATAAAATACTATATTGTATAGACTCTTTATTGTACACCAAGAATACAAAATATACAAATATTAAACGAAAACAAAATGCCGTATCGTTATACTACATAAAAATAATTAAATAATACCTAGATACTAAAAAGCTTAGTCATTAATAAATATTTGAGGAAACATTTCTTTATCCTTAAAGTTTTTAAAAGTTTTTAATTCACTCATAATATAAATGAAAAAATATATATATATATATATATATAAAAGTATAAATATCTACAATATCTACAAATATTTAAATTTATTGTCGGCTTCCTACCATAATTTGTTATTATTCACCCGAAATTCAATAAACATGAACTTTTTAATGAATTTACAATTTTATTCTTTTTAAACGTAGAATATTTAATGTATTGAACAAAATATTAATTCATATAATTGTTCAAAAAGAAATAAAATTACGAAAAATAACTGGCTATGAGAGAAAGAGAAAGAAAATGTGCGCGCGCACTGCTCTCTCTTGCTTATATCCCTCACTCAGCTCCCGTTCGCCTCGCCCGATCACACCTTACGTAACGCTTTCGTCACGCGTTAGCCAGCTTACTCACCAAGTCAAGCGTGTGTAAAGAAGTTTTACTTCAAAAAATTCAATGCACATATTATTTTAAATCGTTATTAAATTGCGAGACTGAAACTGTTCATAAATACTTAATTTTATCAACACGTGCAATTATTTGTTTCAGATCAAATGCGCCCACGTGTTGTATAAAAAGACGAGAAGAACTACCATGAGTTACCCAGAAGTAGCTGAATCCGCATTAGAAAATGGGCCACAATGGGCTCGGCAATGGGCTAATTCCTTTAGGTTGGTAATTTCATTTTAACGATTTCGGAGTCGTAAGAGGACCTCCACTTCCTTGTCCTTAGACGAAGCGCACCGGAACACAAGGCGTTTTTACTCCACAGTCTTCAACTCTAATAGAACAATGGACCTCCCCGTCCCCCATTCTTTACACGGAAGCTGCAAGGCCAGGAAAAACGAGTACCCGTAAATACCTGCCTTTACGACCCGAGAAAAGTCTATGGCTCCGCCACCAACCACGTTTCAGCCGCGAAGGGTAATTGAGAAGGCCGCCTGATAACATCAACACTATCACTATTTTTAATAATTTAAGATTTCTATTAGCGTTAGAGATAGTAGAAAGTCGGCTTAGCTAACCCCATAGGTTCTGCGGTCACCAATCTGCCTGCCAACTTGGCGATTATGTTGAATCCTTCCTGCGACCGAAGAGACTCATTCTGCAGTAGACTTTTAGGGATTGATGAACTAAAAAAAATAATATTAATAATTTTTTTACACTAAGCTTATACGTTATCGTAGGATGAAAAAATAAATAAATTAACAGTTACAGACAGTCAATTTAATGTGTATATTGTTCCAGAATCTTTATACTTGTGAGCCTCTTCTTGACGTACTTTGGTACATGTTCCGTATATGCTGTAATTGTCGCCACAAACATATCACAGGTAATATGAATCTGAGATTTTAATAAATCACATGATTTAAGTCTATCTTTACCTATGCTTTAAAAATTGGAGACCAAAATGTCTTTAAAAGTTGAACCAGAGTAACCGACATAGCCCAACGGATCAGTAAGCTGAACTGGCAATGGATTTCCCATATAACTCCTACAGTCCACCTGATGGTAAGTGACTACTGCAGGTCATGGGAAACTGCACCAACTGCATACAAAGAAGACTCCAGATGCGTTGTCATCCCTGAGGACTAAGATGGAACGCTTTTAGCATATAATTGACTGGTGAGGTTTGAAGCCGATTGATGCAGATGACTCAGGAATATTCTTTTGTGGCATCCCTTAGGGGATGCTTCGGCAGTAAACTTAAAGACTGTAATAATGATAATGATGGTATTAAGTTGTACATTTGGTAGAATAATTTATTACAATTTAAAATACACATATATACTCGATGATTTTATTTACCGTCTGGAAAAAAATAAGGTGTAACATGTGAACGGAATGGAAGTCTATGGCACTGATATTTTATCATTTTCTTTAATTTTTCATTAACATATTATAAAATTGATCTATCAATAAATACTACTAAATACGTATTATATTAATTTCGATATTGTTTAATTGATTTATTTATTAAGTTCAAAATTTTTGTTGTTATTTTTTTAGTACCGAAGGTTTATTTCAAATTAGTAGTATTTACTGATAGATCAATTTCATAATATGTCAAAGAATAAAATGTAATATCAATGCCATAGGCTTCTATTCTGTTCGCCTGTTGCACCCTATTTTTATCCAGACGATAAAAAAATCACCCAGTAAACTAGACAGAGAAACCTATAGACAAATTGACGCCTTCTTTCGCATTCGCACACGAAAAAGATAGATTTATGCATACGTATTGCATAGAAATGAGATAGAGCAGTGTGATTGTTTGTCCCTTTCTCCGTGCCGGTTTTTTTTTTGTTAGCAAACTACACTTTGCTAAACAACTTTGACAGTTCTTAGCGATCTAAGGAGTTTACAAGTTGGTTTAAGTGAGACAAAAAGTGTTTTGTTAGCTTAAGATTGGTGAATCTTGTTCAGTTCAGTTCTTTGAACAATTAAAATTTTTATCTAAATATGTTTATAGTCATAAAGATTATTGTATAACCTAAAACTACGTTATCGTCTTTTCCACTCAAGGCCACGCTAATCATTAGTCTATAGGTTTCTCTGTCTACGTCTTAAAGCCTTATTCATGCAACTAATATTTGAAAAAAATGAAACCTATATTTAATTTCTTGTTTTTGCAGGTGGTACTTCATTATTTGGAAGATCACAAGGATGTTCTTGGAATCAGAATTTTTATAATAGCCCTGCTGTTGCCACTTATATTAATGGCGTGGATTCGCAACCTCAAATACTTGGCGCCCGTGTCCATGATCGCTAACCTGTTCATGGGTGTCGGTCTTGGAATCACTTTCTATTATTTGGTTGGAACTGGCGGTCTTAGTTTTGACAAAGTAACGGCTGTGAAACCACCGGTTGAGTGGCCCGAATTCTTTTCACTGACCATATTTGCCATGGAAGCCATTGGTGTGGTTATGCCTCTAGAGAACGCCATGAAGACTCCCCGATCAATGCTCGGCTTCTGCGGAGTTCTCAACAAGGGCATGTCTGGCGTAACGCTGGTGTACATTCTCCTTGGATTTCTCGGATATCTACGTTACGGCGATGAAGTTCAGGACTCCATTAACCTTAACCTGGAACAAGATAATATGTAAGTATCTTATCTATATTTCTGTTGTAAACTCTCTGATGCCATTTTTTTAATTGAATAAGCGTCCATCTGCCATATACTATCTACCATACTAATATAACCATTACATAGACCACCTGATGGTAAGCCTCGTTATCAGTGAAAAAGTTCGCCGGTTCCCTACACTCGCAATCCAAAACACACCAGCATTCTATTAGTTTGGTTCTTCCATACTCTTTTGTTATGGAAGAGGAGGCAAACGAGCATGACCCACCTGATGGTAAGGAGGCACCGTCGCCCATGAACACCTGTAACACCAGGGGAATTAAAGGTGCGTTGCTGGCCTTTAGAAAAGAGTAGGCTCTTTGGTAGTGTTTTCGTGGGAGTTAGAAAATTCCTGTAAATCTCACCTAGTGGACCGCTAGCGATCGTGATGATAATGATAGAATTTCGAGTTTTGTCGCTGTTAACGATGGTCTAATTTAGCAACTGAAATTAATCCGAACCTTTAAGCACTCTCAGTGGTATGTGATTGAGAGATAAGAACAGTATTCCATCCGAACCAGCGCCTTGTAAAGTTGCAAACGGTAGGCTGGCAGGAAATACTCCTTACTAGACATGAAACGGATATCTTAATCGGATACTATCCGGTCGGATACCGAATAACAAACAGTTATTCGGCCGGATACCGGATTTAAAAAACACAAAATATCAAATTTAGTTTAGTGCTTCATTTATGTCACTTAACAAATATAATCACAAAATTTTCATTTTCAAACTTACAAAATTAGTACTCGTACTGCGCTAAGGCACAGATTAAATAATAGTACTACGTAGCTAAGGGCAAATTATGGTGAATAAATACTAATTCCCCTGCATTGAAAGGTAACAAGCATAAAACAAGGTTTCGTCTGTCTTCATAAACAAGCGAGCTTCAGAAAAAGTCTTTCGCTGTACACACTGCTGCTGTGTACTAAAAGATAGATTTTGGCATACTTTGATAAATTTGGATATTGTGTAGCAATACCTGCCCACAAAATATAAGGGTCACGATCGCGAACAGTTTGCAATGACTTTACTTTTCGCTTCTTGCGATGCACTAAACGGCAATGTTCGGTAGAAAATCCGGCGGCTGGATATCCGGCGATAAGACTGGCCGAATATCCGGTATTCATCCAAACAGCTATCCGTTTCATCTCTACTGCCTGGATATTTTTAGCACACCAAACTTTCTTAATGCCAGTTTGGCCTTCTCTTCCAAATAACTGCGGCCATTTATATCTTTCATAATGTCGACTCCTGAACCCTGACCCTGTTGAGGAGACAACAAAGTGGTTCTTTTAACAGCGCAAATCTGTGCCTTTAAGGGGAAATATAACCTCAAATGGCTTAGCAAGATCCTCCGTTATGCCGAAAGTATTGCAGCATTAATTTTGAAATAAATATATGGTAAAGTTGAGGATTAATGTTAAGGTTTATGTTAGACGAAAACACGATTCCGTAAAATTTTCTCGATAGAAAAAAAATCCAAAGTTACCTCCAAACTGAACAATAAACCGCTGTTATTCATAAAATACTTTAAATAAGATCATGAAACTTTGCATACTAACTGAACTAACCATAAAGCAGTGCTTATGTTATTTACTTTTTTTAAAATATCATTATTTCCACTGTAAAAAGAAATTACCTAAACTATCGGCGCGTAAGCTTGGTTCCTGTCGCTCCGTTAGTATTGCTCCGGCTTTTGAAGGGAGAAGTTGTGTCGCTTACGATCAGAAAACACATTACGCAACAGGAAGACGTAAAATTAAAATGGGAAATAACCGTTATAAAAATAAGAAGCGACTGGGTTGGCGTTAAGAAACAGGCATATATATGATAAACATAATGAAATAAGTATCTAACGACCTATCTACTTGAGTATTGGTGATTACAAACATGTCGGTACATAACATACGACGCGCGGGGAAGTGGGGGCGAAATTAGAATTTGAGCTGACTTACTCTCACCTCTTAAGGGGTTAAACTGGACTAGATTTAGTCGAACTCTATCCGAGACTTTGTGTAAGGACTCGACTTCAGACACAAGTTTGTTCTGGCACTCCTCGACATATTCCCGCGATATATTAGCACGGCACATGCAGAAGGAACAGAGTAGGCGATAGCATGCATCCGTGTGAAACACCAACATTCACATGCTTGGAAGTGGAAGCATGCACCGTCGATTATGATGTTAATACGGTGATCTGCAAGAAAACTGGAGACCCAGTTGCCAATTTCTCGGAAAGCCCTTAAGAGGGAAGCTTCGAAAAAAGCGCTTTATGCCAAACTCAATCTAAGGCCTTCGCTATGTCCAAACTAACCGCCATAGCCTCCACCTTGGTCTCGACTGACTCCGCACATCAGTGAGTCAGGTAGACAAAAAGATCACCAGCTGAGCGACCTCGATGGAAACCGTATTGACAGTCACTAATCACTTATCCATAACATATTTGAGACATCGCTCTACCACGCAAAGCATAGGTACAACCAACCCTTTAAGTTCATTATGTACATCAGTTCTAATGTATCGTAACATCCCAACTTAGAATTATACTTATATATTTAACTATAACTTATTTTACTAGCTTTCGTTAATTAGCTTATATATTTCAGCCCAGCCCAAATCGTCCAAATCGCCATTGCCATCGCTGTTTATTGCACATTCGGACTCCAATTCTTCGTGTGCATCGACATCATGTGGAACTGCATAAAGGACAAATTCACGAAGCGACCAGACCTGGCCGACTACATCATGCGCACAATAATGGTCACTGCTTGTGTTCTGCTCGCCGTTGCGGTCCCGACCATAGCACCGTTCATGGGAGTCATCGGCGCTTTCTGTTTCTCCCTCCTAGGTTTAATTGCACCAGCCTTCATTGAAATTATCACCTTCTGGGAGATCGGCTACGGTCCCTACAATTATCTTATTTGGAAGAACATTTTGGTTTTCCTATTCGGCATGTTCGCTCTTGTCTTCGGTACCAAAGACGCAGTCATAAGTATAATTAGAGTGTACAGTGCGTAATAGATAGCGCCGTTTGCAACCTCGGGCTGATGTTTATGTGATGTCTGAGTGAGTAAACTAACGTGTGATAGTATAGGTTACTATGTAAGTTCATTTTTAAGACTTGTTTAGAGCTATTTTTAAAAGTCCAATCTACTACACTGCGGCCCCATTTTGGACCCCGTTTATGTGTGGTGCTAGTAATTATTTATACGACGTTTTAAGGCAGCGCCTTATTTTGCTGCCCTTAAAAGTGTTACATGGGTATATGGTCTATGTTTTTATTTAATGAGAAAATAATTTTATTACGATGAGTTAAATTTCGTTTGCATTCCCAATTAGACAATTTGCATAAGAAAATTATGTGGCAGAGTAAGTGTGTTTGCCATAAAATTGTGAAAAACTGATATCAACGAATGTATGGTACAATATGACTGAATGCTTATGGCCAAATAACTTATATACAGTTTAGAGGGAAAATATTTTTTTTATCTTGAATTATTCATGAATATTGGTGGCATATTTTTAATCGTAATAATTATGGAAAAAAATTGTCCAATTAGTCTTTTTCCCCGTTAAGGCACCTCTCCTGTGAAGAGATTTATACTTTTTAAAATTTGATTTATTTTTCGAAAATCACAATCTTTTTGTGCCCAAATTTATATGTATAACAATAAATGTTTGAGACCTTCATAGAGAGTAGAGAGAGGGGGGAGTGGCAAAAAAATATTTCCCCGCCGCATTAATGTAAAATAATAACCTCAATTTTGGGCCTAAGAAAAGGACGTGATCTCTTCAAATAACATTAGATAATGATGTCTGTGTTACTGAAACTTTACGTAAAGTTTTTATAGTTACTTTATAAAGTCTGTAGATTATTTAAAAAAGTCAAATTAGTTATTGGGATTTTTTGTCAAGAATTTCTTATGCAGCGTTGTTTTACCCCCGTGCCCCGGAAAGCATCTTCTATCTATCGTATCGGATGGCCATCCTATGATGGGACCATAAGAGTGAGGGAATAAAGAATGAACCTGTGCTTTTGTGCAAACATGTGCACTATAGTCCTAGCCTAAGCGGATGGTTAATCTTTGCTGAGACTGGCCTCCATGACCAAAATTTAGTCCGGGGATATAAAAAAAATATAAAGTATTAAGTAACACAGATAACAGTGCCCAATATAACTCAAATAACAGCAAAATTGTTTCCGATAAAAGATGTGTTCTATTATGTACTTGTGGAGCAAAAACTTTAAATATTAAAAGGTGCAGGAAACCTGATTTTATTATTTATATATTTTAAAGGCTCAGACTAACAGAGATATAACGACTTTTACATTTCTCGTGACGCAAAAACCATACTCAATCTATTGTAAGAATACACTCACGTACACATATAAGTTCACCCGAGGCAAGTGTGACATAAATTAATTAAAACTATAATGGACATTCAAAAACTTCTACTCTGTAAGGATTTAAACATAGAAAATTCAGTTTTATAACATCATTTATTAAGTGGTTATTTGTTAGATAAAGTATTTTATTATCTACAAGTAGCATTTTTTTGAAGCAATTGAACTAATTGAGGTGGAAGACTGTCACACTTACCCATCAATGAGGCAAGTGTGACTGTACGCTTTTTTATAGTTACTTTATTATTATCTGTGGTTTTCGACAAAATTGGTGAGATGACACTAACGTCAATATATTTTATGATCTATGATAACGATTTGAACGTCCATTTTTGTATAACAATGAATTTTTCGCCATATAAGATAAGTGTGACTGTTTTAATCGATAATGTACCTTTAAATGAATTTATATTATAATAAGCCCTTAATGTTTTGTAAGTGTAATAAAAACAAAGCCAAGTGAAAAATAACTTTATTTCAGAAACGTTGATAATTAATAATAATATAACCATAATGCTTTGGTACTTATCTTCTTCTGTATCTGTTACGATAACATTTATTATATCTGTTTCTGACATTCTCTGATATTTTTCTATGACTTGTATTTATTCCTTAGTATTAATTTAAAAAATGTATATACTTAAATATAAATATGTACACACAAACACACCGATAAATAGCATCCTCATTTTTTGAAGACACTATCACACTTACCCCGATGTTAGGTATTAGGTGAGGTAAGTGTAACTGTATCCTTATATCAAGGAATAGTGGATTTAGGATCACAGAAACATATATTATCTATAAGTACCAATATTATTCTTTATCACTCCATTTATCTGGTTTAAAATAACTTAATGACATATCGAAACAATAACTTCACCTCTTAAAATTGCGCTGTCTGTCACCAGATGAGTAGTTTTAAAAATAACGTCTGTTAATAAAATAGTTGAAGCTATTTACTTAACTGTCAGTACAGTCAATAGCGTAAAATTTCCTGCGGTGTTTAATAGATGGAACTTAACCAAAAACCGCGTGAAGGCCGCATGATTTGCATTTGTTACACTTGCCCTACTGTCACTCTTGCCTCGGGTTTCCATACATCTAAAATCATTTGCCACCAACAACATGGTATAAGCTGCGTGTGTGTGTTCAGCGGTGAACCTTTAGGAGCTGATAAACAATGAATGAAGAAAAAAGTGCGCGTGTGTGCCTGTCACTTGAAATGTACACAGTGTCTTTCTTAGTTTGTTGGTTTGTGATTACAGGTATGGTTAACAAATATCTGTTTTTAACGTCAATCGTACCGAGGATTTTTAAGGGATTTAATGTGAAGTCGCATTTAATATTTTACTACATTGTTTATATTTATGTTTTATGCATAGGCGAGTTCTATTTAACGAATTTTATTACTTTATATTAATGAATTTTGCAATTAAAATAAAATGCTGCTTACAAGTGTATAAATATAACGTGTTATATTTGCATAATTGAAACATAAATATCATAAGAGGCCTTACAGTTATACAGTGATGTTTTAACGATTTTTAATATATTTATAACAGTAGTTTTAATATACCATATTGCAAAAGAAATAAATGAATAATTCATATTAAATATTTATAGGCGCTTGTGATAGATGGAATAGCATGATTATAATTTTGGATTTGCTTCACTCCATATTAATAATAACGGAGTAAGCTATGTTGGACCAAGTATTGGTACCATTTTATAAATTATTTGGTTTTAAAAGTGTCACTATTATTTTCAGAATTTATATATGTGTACATAAAAATTTTAGTAGAAACTAGCTCCACCACGATTTTGCCCGAAAGTTTTGAACTCATTAAGAAGTTATGCAAGTAATTACACTTGAATCGACACACGTAGTCATACAATAAACACTAAACCAAAAATTACGATGGCCTTGAAGCTACTTTGAACAACGTCTGAAAATTTTATATCATTGGACTCAATAGTTTTCATTTTACACTCGCTTTTACGAACAGACAAAAATTACCGATGGATTAAGTAAATGAAATAAAAGAACCATTTAGAATTATTTGTATAGATTTAAGTATTATGTTAACCGAACAAAGTTCCTATATAATTCTAAATTTTACCTTTATTATTTTATTTCATCTGAACCGTACACTTCAATTTTTATGCATTAGCGCAAAAGCGTTGGTTTTAAATAAAGAAAAATAAATAATGATTATTTCAATAAATATTATGCAGGTTCTACTAAACTGTGGTTTTACTTCAAAAATAATAGCATACATATTTAAACTTTTAAAACGATCTTTTCAAGCTTCATCATCATCTTTCCTTAGCTCGAGCAATGTACCGAACGTCGCTAATATGTGTGCGTGCCTGGCACGTGACAGTACGGACCACAGAGTACTTTTTGTATACCTGGTACGGACTCACACGTACGAGGTACAGCACGCACACAACGACACTTGCTAAGTCGGGAAGATCGGGTCGTGTCGGGAATGCCCACCGCCGCGCTCAGCAATCACCTTTGTTTGAGACTTTGTTGACTTCTAATAAAATTTTGCTAGCAGTCTTTTTTCGTTTTATTTTCTCTTTTTGTAAAATAAATTAATGTATACGTTTGTTTAAGTAAATTAGCTTTTTATTAATAGGTTATATTACTATATCTATACATAGATAATGTCCTCCAGACCGAATTTCGGTCACGGCGGCCAATCTCAACAGAGACCAGCCAACGGGGCAGGACAGGATTATAGTGCCCAAGAGTATGCGCAAGCACAGGTGCACTCTCTATTCCATCACTCTCATATTCCGATGGGACGGTAAACCGACACGACCGGAGAGAGATCAGGCGCAGGACCAACGGCTTTACGTGCCTTCCGAAGCACTAACCGCCAACTTCCTGACTCCGGGCAGCTATTGAGAATTTCTTAACGGAAAAACTCAATAATTAATTGTTTCGTCCGACCCGGGATTCGAACCCAGGATCTCATGATCAGTAGTCGCACCACTACAACCACTAGACCAACGAGGCAAACAAAATACATACCTCATAAGTACATTAATTATCATATAACGTCAGATCAAATTAATCTTAAACACTAAATCTGAGGTAACGCCATAGGCTCAATGTTAATTTACTCGTATTTTAGTTATTTGGCGTAGTAATGTAAAATTAAAATGTTTTTGACAAACATTGATTCTTTGAGAGGAAACTATAGAAATGTTAACAAATATGATACATATAGGTTCGTATGATATACCTAAATGTCACTTAGCTGTTAAAAAGGCGGTGAAACCCTGCAATAGTAGGCATTTAAGTTTCGTGCGATGCGGGGGACATCCTACTATTCTGTTTTTACTATGACTCGACGGAGACTACTCAAGACAATTTTCGTTTCAAAACAGGTCGCCATTTCACCGACGTGGCGTCAAAATAAAATATAGGTAAATGCCATGAAGATAGAAATGCATCTGAGATGGAGGATTAAACATTGTGTCAGATGTCCCGATCACACTACGGGAGCAAGGATTTTTTTTATAGGATAGGGTGACAAACGAGCACACAGTCCACCTGATGGTATAAGTCGATTATGAATCAAAATGAATCAGAATA